TCCCTCCCCTCCCTCCTCTCTTTGCTCTCTGCTCCCCTCCCCTCTCACCGCTGTCTTCCCTCCCCCTCCTTTCCCTCCAATCTCCCCCTCCCCTCTGCTCTCTCCCCTCCCCTCTCTCCTCTCCCTTCCTTCTGCTCTCTCCCCTCCCCTCTCTCCTCTCCCTTCCTTCTGCTCTCTCCCCTCTCCCCCTCCCTCCTCCTCTCACCCTCCCCCCTCTCCGCCCTCCCTCCCTGGCCTCCCTCCTTCCCCGGCCGGCCGGCGGGCTGTTGGTCCCATTCCTTGGTGCCCAAGCGCTCCCTCGCGCAGCCCCACTAGGCTGCGGGCTCGGGCTCGTGGCCGAGGCCGAGGCCGGGCCAGGCCGGGGGCGGGGGCCGGGGGCCGGGCTCCGGGGCAGTCTCCGGAGGGAAGGTCGGCGGTAGCCGCGGCGGGGCTGGCAGCGGGCGCGGGCCCGGAGGCGGCGGCGGCCGAGGTCAGCGCCGCAGGGCGAGGCTAGCCCGGGGCCGGCCGGCCCCCCTCCCGGGCCCAGCCATGTGGTGCCTGCACTGCAACTCGGAGCGGACCCAGTCGCTGCTGGAGCTGGAGCTTGACAGCTGGTAAGGCTGGAGGGGCTGCTGGGCCGGACCTGGCCGGGGGCGGAGGAGAAGGCGCCCCTGCTGCGGTCCGGAGCCTGGTCCCCCGCGCCCGACGTCCGGCGTCCGGGCTCCGGGCTCCCCGCACGGGCGCGGGCTGGGACTCCGCCGCTTGTCATTTCGGAATGTGCGTGCGTGCGTGCGTGTGCTGGGGGGAATGGCCCCGAGGGTCCGGGAATGCAAGCACACAGATCGCTGGGAGCCCACGGACGTGGGGGTGCAAAGCGTGGCCCCCGGGGCCGAGACTGGCCGGAGGGAGCCGCTGGTCTGGGGCTGGGGGGGGTAGTCCTTTGGGGAGTGAGTGAGTGAGTGTGTGTGGGAGTGAGTGAGTGAGTGTGTGTGTGTGTGTGTGTGTGTGTGTGTGTCAGAGAGACAGAGACAGAGTGTGCAGTTGTGCCAGTGTGTGTATTTGTATATGACACGGTATGAAACGGCGCCGGCAGGCATTGATTTCGCTCCCACTGTGTGCCAGGCACTATGCTAAGTCTACTGAGAAAGTCTACAAGTGTAAATATGAATGTGTTTGTGTGTCTGAGAAACTATTTGTTGTGCATTTGTTCGAGAACCTGGAAGTCTGAGCATGCATTTATTGGGGGGGGGGTGTATGAGTGACGGAGGTAGTCCGTGAGTGCATTTGTGTGTGTTCAGAATATTTGTGTGAATGTATTTTTGGACTATGGGTCTGTAAATGCATTTGTGTAAGAGGATCTGGATATGTGTCTGTAGAGTGTGAATTAATTTTTGCATTACTGTCTGTGTGAGTATGCCTGTGTGTGATGAATATAGATTTCATATCTGAGTGCCCAATGCTCCCTTCCCCCTCACCCACAGCTCAGCTGCACACTCGGCTTCTACTGCACGGAACTGTACTGGGCAGAGACCAGGAGGAGGGGTCTTTTAACGGTGACTCAGGGCGAGGATCCCTCCTGGTGCTATATGATCTTTATTTTTTAAATGGCTTTAAAAGTGTTCCACATAGCACTGCTGGGTGGTTACAGACCCGTTTCTTTAAACAGCTCCTGCTCCACCCCCTAACCCTTGGTAGTGTAGAGCCTTGGGACTCTGAGGATGTTGTGCTTAGTAAATGCCTATCCTTGCTGCTATGAAGTTTGGAAAACTTAGTGTTCTTACTGATTCCATCTCCTGCAGCCTGTGGGAAGATAGGGAGCTGGCCTTTTTCTTAAGCTTGACACTCAAAAAAATAGGAACTTTACTTAAGGGGAATGGGGGAAGCAGAAAAAAATGTAGCCCCAGCACCATCTGTCTTTGAATTAAAATGACTTTGGTAACCTCTTCCAGGTCTTAAGGGTTACTCCTAGAAGAATCTAATGTCTAGATGATTAGCTCACTATAGTATCCCAATTTCTTCTTTCTTCCTTACTCGTCTGCTTCCCAAACAAAATATAAGAACTGCAAGAGACCTTAAGAAGTCACCTTGACTAACTAAATTGCTTTCAAGTCTGACAACCCAGTTATTATCTCCAGACTGGAAAGAGGGAGATTCCCAGTTCTTATATTCGTCCAGTGAAGTGCCTGTCACCCATTTTGGTGTAGTAGTTAGAGAGCTGTCTAGGAAAATATGAGTTCAAGTTGCCGCTCTGATACATCAGATGGCTGTTGATCCTGAACAAGTCCGTAAACTTTCCACTCAGTTCTTTAGGCAACTCTTTGATACTATAAATTGCAAAGTTCCAGCCTGCGCTGGTAGAGGGAATTTTTCGATTTCAATATGAAATCACAGGGCTAATCCTTCTATTCCTAACTCTTGGAAATGATCACTTTCAGAATCTCTCCTGCTACCCTTCCAGCCCATTTCCACTGGTTCTGCTCTCAGAGGAGATGGAGAACAGCTGCTCTAAAAGTTGCAGGCAGGACCAAAACACAGGTGCACACAGTGACCACTTATTTTTAAAGTTATCCAGGCTATATTTTGTACTGGTTAGAGTCAGCCTCCTAAATCCCTTGCATTTGCTCTAACGCCCCTGGTATGTGGTCTGAGAAATCTCTCAGAGGAAACCAGCAAGTTTGGCACATTTCCCTTGCCTCTCTGGTATTAAAGTTACTCTTCAGACATTCCTTCCTGTGCCCCTAACACTCATCTAACACCCATCATGAGTACTGGCAAGGTCTAGAATCTGTGAGAATTCTAGCACACAAATTTTGTGAAGTCAAGTCAATAAACATTTATCAAGTGCCTGTAATATGCCAGGCTCTGTGCTCAGCACTGGGGATGCAAAGAAAGGCAAAAGACAGTCCCTGCCCTTAAAGAGATCATGGTCTAATGGAGGAAACAACATGTAAAACAACTGCATACAAGATAAATTGGAGATAATCAACAAAGGGAATTAAGGGGGATCTGGAAAGGCTTCTGGTAGAAGGTGAAATTTTGGCTGAGACTTAGGAAGCCAGGTGATAGGCTCCAGCTAGATCATATATACTACCTAAAGATTTTAAATGTAAAATATTTAAAACCGAGTTGAATGAAATGGGGATGGTTTAGCCCACAGGGAAAAAAAATACCTAGTGGGAGCTGTCTTATGTAAGCAGGATGAGACTTGTTCTCTTTGTAGGAAAAATGGGTAGAAGCTGAAGAGAGGTAGATTTCAGATCAACATGAGGAAATTTTTTTTCCAATACTTAACACTAACCAGAAGTGGAATGAATGCCTAGGAGGTAGCAGGCTTCCTCTCATTACAGATCTTTCAAGCGATGGCTGGATAATACCTTGTTATTAATATATTGTTAATGTACAATTATATGCATATATACACATATATATATATATATGCACACACATACATACACACATCTATATATATATATATATATATATATACACTCATACACATATATATGTATATATGAATATAAGCTACTTGAGGACAGGGATTAGTCTCTCTTTTATATTTGTATCCCCAGTCCCTAGCATAGTGGCTGGCACATAGTAGGTACTTAATAATTGTTTACTGATTGATTGATGGAAGGAGGGAGATTATAAAATATTCTTTAATACAAGGAACACTCACCTATCTGTTTGGAACGTTTTGGTGGGTGTAGACTGACCTGGAAGCAGAGGAATGGACTGGATGACCTTTAGAAGATTCTACTGGCCTGGCTAGAATTTTATATCTCTTCCCAAGGAAGCCGAACTCTGTACTAGTTGTGTTAATATTTACACAACTTCAGCTCCAGAATAATGGCTTATCCTGACAACTGCCTATATAAACAGCATGATGGCTGAGCAAATAGGAGGTTGGGAGAAGGGAAAGAAAAGGGGCCACTGGGGTTGCTGAAGATGAACTGTGTGAGAGCCTGTTTCCTTGTATAATATCTGCCAGGTGGTCCCCAGCATGTGAGTGTGTGACACAGAGAGAAGCCCTTGCACCAAATAAGTCAGAGACCACTTAAAATGAACGTTGGCTAAGAACAAAATTACGGGCCCACCGCATCACCCTCCCACTCTCCACTGGGGCGGTACTGCTCGAGAGTTCAAGGTCTAATGAAACAGTAAACTTACAATATCATCGATGCCTGGCACGTAGTAGGTGCTTAATACACGCTTGATGATATGGTGAATGATCCGTTAGTCTTCTTAGGTTCTAGTTCTGACAGCAGTTATGTAGGTGAGGTTTTGGCCCCTACCCTAGAGCCAGGACCAACCCTGCACGCAGGCATTTCAAGGGCCATATGATCAGGGAAAGAAGGGAAGGAGAAAAGACTGAGGGGCGTGCCTACATGTGTATATGAGAGTAGATCAAATCGTCTCTAAGGCCCCTTCTCAATTTAGACATTTTATAATTGATTTTTCTCCCTCTCCTAATCATGCCTGGAATATCACTCCAGAAAACTTAAAAGAAAAAAAAGCAATTTTGTTCCTTGAAACTGTGATCCAGCATAGCCATAGACTCTAGGGAAGAGACTGATTTTGAGTGGAAAAGAAAATGATTTAATGGAATGGGGGTGGGCACTTGGTTTCTTAAATATAATTTAGAGTTGGTCCTAAAAAGCAAATCTAATGGGCCTAAAACCAATCATATCTCTGGAGAAATTAATTGATATGGACTTAGAGAACTATTTGTTTGGCCAGTTCCAACCTGGTGAGCCAGAGTTGCTGTCAGAGAAAATTGGTGGAGTTTATAGATGGAAATATGGCCTGCTGCCACCCATCAGTGAGTGTTACCCATCTAATCAATGGCCCTGTCCCAAGTTGGGGAGTTTCCTAGTGTTAGGCATTCACAGGACACTGAGAACCTGTTCTGAGTGCTGCTAATGGGCAAAGTTATCCTGCATGTATGGTTGGTATTTTGAGATGATGGATGAATGCAACCCAAATGGTACCATTTTTCTGCATTTCTGTATTTAGAATAGGAAACCTCCTTTTGTGACTACACCCTTCACCTCTCTGCATTTTAGTTTTAGGGACTTAAATGCTGTTAATTACAGATATTTCTTCTTTTACTGTCCTCCTGGGGTATGGTTTTGGTGAGGGTTTTTTTTCACTTTTGTTTTAAATTGAGTTGTAATGATCTTTTTCTTCCTTAAAGCTGATGGCGGTTGTCAACAAAATATTGTTGCAAAAGTTGTTGCTGAGTGTTCTCACCCAGCTTTTAGCTATTTTCCGTTTTATTGATTGTAGCTGTGCTTTTGCTACCATTTGCTGTATTTAGAGAGTCTTTTCATTTGGCCAGTTTATGGACTTTGTCCTAAAATCATTGGTGTTTTAATTTGCTCTCCGAGGCCCAGCATACAGCCATGGTGGATGATTTTGCTCGGGTAGTTTTCTATGTTTGTTACATGCTTCATAGTTCACATGCTTCAAGGCTGACAAAGTCTACTCATAACAACCCTGTGAGGTAGGAAATGCAAGGTTTATCATCCTCATTTTAAAGATGATGGACCAAACAAGGCATAGCAAGGCCGAGTGACTTGCCCATGGACCCGTGATAAGCATCAGAGGAGGGTTCAGAATCACCTCTGGACTCCAAATCCAGAAGCATTCTTTTTTGCTGCATGGTTTTGTGTTTCAGTAAGAGGCTTATACTTAGAACTATAGACAGAGCTGGAAAGGGCTCAGAGGAGCTCTGCTCCAATCCTTTTCCAGGTGAATAAATCATGATGTCACTTGTTCTTGTTTTAGTCCTTAGGCTGATAAAACATCCCCTTTTGGGGAAGGGGAGAAGGTTAAATAAAATTCAGCAAAAACATGTAGCTGCAGTGAACATGAGGCTATATACTCTTGTGGCTTTCTGGAAAGACTACACATCTGGGGTTATCCCCACACTTCAAAACTGCTGTAAGTATTCAGCTACACAGCTGTGATTTGATCAATGGGACCTCAGCTATTCCCTCTTTGGTGCTTTGCCCAAACCTTCTTTATAACCCCCACAGACCTAAACAGCTCCATTCCACTTCCCAGCCAGGATTCACTAGCAGAGCAGTGATGTAGTCCTTCATCCTCATTGATTTTTCATCAAATGGAATGTTGTATGTATAGAGGAATATAGGCCACAAAGCTTTTTTTTTTCTCCTAAGTGTGGTGGAAAGTTGGCCCTTAAGTCAGAAGAACTGGATTCTAATTCTCAATATACCATTAACTGACCCTAAGCAGGTCACTTCACATGGACCTGAACTTGCTTTTCTTTGCAATAAAAGCATCAGACATGATCTTCAAATTCCCTTTCTGGGTATACACTCTGATTCAGCGTCATGAATAAACAGAAGGCAGTTACCATACTTTGACCACTTCAGAGATACCAAATGCATTTGGGGCAGTAAGCTTGGTTCTTGTCAAAGAAGGGAGAATCATTTGTAAATTGGAATATCTGGAGTGATTGAGTCCTCCCCCTTGTCAGCACAAATGAATAGTCTTCCCCTGAAATGGGCTAAAATTAGTGCCCAGGAGGAATTTATCTGCCAACATTAATCTCTCTTCATAGAATCTGGCTGTCAGAGCTGGAATAATTCTAGGCTAAGCCCCTTCATTGAATTGATGAGATGAGGTGTAGAAAAGGGAAGCCCTTCCTATGAGTTGCACAGGTAACAATGTATAATAGAGCCGGAATTCCAAACTACATCTTTGTGACTCCAAATCCAGTACTTTTTTCACCAAATGGCCTTTAAGCCTTTCAGGATCATCCAGGCTGGCCTCTGCTGGCCTCTTCAGCCCTTTTAGAGATAAGGAAGCTGGGGCAACTTAGTTTTGAAGTTCACATAGCTAGATACGTGACTTTTGAACTCTGGTCTTCCTTCTTTCCATTAATACCATACTCCCTTGTGCCTTTTTTATACAGAGTAAATGGTACTCGCTATTTCCTCCTTCTAATAGGTCACGTTTTTCTTTCTCTATATGTCAGTGTGCACCAGATAGGGATTCACAGTGCCAGATGTGAATTCTGTAGTTCCATCATGCTAATAAACTTTTGTTTTTTTCTGCTTGGGGACAACTTGGCCTAGAGGCTTCAAATCTTCATGCTTGACTTAACACAGTTGCCTGCTCCTGCCCAGTGGCCCAGAGTTAAACAACAGAGGCAGAAGAAAGATAGGTAGGAGGAAAAATTAAAGAGCAATGAGATTTTCATCTTATGTTTTGAGGAAGTGGAAATTCAAAGTAGTGTAACAGATTGAAGACTCAGTCAGAAGAAACTAAAGCCTCTGTGCTGCTGTGTGTATATTTTTAAAATAGTATTGCAAGTCAGTGAATTGAAATAGTCCACCAAGAAGTGGAAAATTAAAGAGTGTTATGGAAATTGCATTGCCTGTAGAGTTGAGAAATTGGAAAATACAGGTTGCCTGCTGTTCAGTTTTGCTGCTGGCAAGAATTACTTAGACATTGTAGATGGATAGAATTGTGGAGTTGTAGGAAATTTGACGGAGAAGACTATTTGTGGTCTAGGAATATTCATAGAATTCTAGAGTTGGAATTGGCCAACCATTCCTCCACATAAGCATGAATCTCCCCCTCTCCCCCTCCTTCCCCTAGCCCTGGCATCCTTGACAATGAACATATATAGCTACTACTGAAGTAACTTAAGTGGAGAGCTCACTGCTTCTTCACCAAGCAACCCATTGGTTTTCAAGCACCCCTGACTGAGTGTAATAACCTGGTGTATGCTCTATGTCTGGGACCCTCCCTGGGGCATTTGGGTCAATTCCCTCTAAAGTTGTTAATTTATTTTGGTGGTATGGACTCTTGTCAGTCTAAAGCCTGTGGACCCCTTTTCAGAATAATGTTTTTAATTAATTGAAGGAAATGCTAAATTTCAGTTGGGAGTTAGTGAAAATAAAGATATAATGTTTTTTCGAGTTCACAGGACCCCCCTCCACCCAGTCAAATAATGGACCCCAGATGAACAACCCTTTCTCTAGCCTAGTACCAGTAAACGGGCGGCAGTACTTGAAGCATCTTCTAAATCCACTGAGAATTGTCCCTTTGGGCACCTAGATCTCATTTTACAATAGCACTCTCAAAATGGATTTCCTTAGAGTAATCTCTCCAAGCCTAGACAACATCATTCTCTGCACTTTCCATAGCACATTCTTGTGCTTTTTTTTTTTTTTGGTAGCTGCTTCTAGACCTTTGAAGATGTGAGTAAGCCTTTTGCCAGTTCTGCCTCAGGCTCCCTCCCAAGAACAGTGTCTTTGGGTCTTCTCCCCTCCTTCCTCTGGCCAGACTACCCATGAAGGCTGCCTCCATTCCAGCTGGAGCTCAGTGTCGGGCAGGAAAGAACAACTGAGATAGATGCTAAGGCTGAAACTGACAAAGATGGGAAATGGAGGCAGAGAGGGCCAAGACAGAATCATTGGCATGCGTGGACCTGGAACTTTAGAGTAGCTACACAAAGAAGTTGAGCAAAAAAAGCCTCTCTCTTGATCTTTTTAAGTGTACATATTTTTATAATCTATAATCAGTGTACTCATACTATTTTGTGTCCTGCTCTTTTAACTTGATGATATTTCATATGCAGCTTTCTGTGTATTAATATATTCAATACATTTGTAATTTTCAACAGCTTTATTGCCTCGGGTCTGCAATTGTTTTAAATAAATTTTTGATAACTGTATATCAATATTAATTGGCTTCCTTTGTAACCCACTGTATTTTATCTTATGCATTTTGAAACATTATGCTGAGAAGGGGTCCATAGACTTCACCAGACGACCAGGGGGTCCATAATACAAAAAATGGTTAAGAACCCCTGCCCTAGTATGTGACTTCATATCAGAGTTTGCTTAGCACTGCCCTATTGTTAGCAATTTGGGTTGTTTCCAGTTTTTTTTCCTTGGTATTATAAATAGCATTGCTATGAACAACTTGGTACAAATTACTTTTTTTTTTCCTTTTGGGTTATTTTCTTGAGTTTCATTCCTTAAAGCAGAATAAAAGGATGTGAAAAGTTTTGTAGTTCTTGTTATGAATTGCCAGATTTCACCAATTTGTAGTGTTACCAACAATATCTAAATATACCTGTCTCTCTCTATCCTCTATTTCCCTGCCCCATCTTTTCACCCCATCTCCCACCATCACTCAAAGCAGGATGTGGCAGAAAGTGGGAGGAGCATAAAGTGGATGGGAAGAGCAAGGAGTAGTAGAAAAAGATGATAGAGGAACAGTATAATGTTATACTACCACATGACGGGTTCCTATCCTTCTTTATGTTACGGACCCATTTGGCAGGTAAAGTCTATGGGAATTCTCAGAATAATGTTTGTAAATGCATAAAATAAAATACAAAGGGGACTACAAAGGAAACCAATTATATTGAAATATAGTTATCAAAATATTGAAAAAAAAAAGTTCACAGACTCCAGTTAAGGAACCCTGTACTATATTATAAACTCCATGAAGCCAGGGATGACATATTTTCTCTCTCCCTACCCTACACCCCTAACACCTAGCTCTGTGGTCTCTACATAAATCTGAGCTGAATTGAATTGAGTACGTGACCCTCCAAAGTCCTTTCTGTGTATCTAGGGTACAGTATTAGGTGTCTTGCTTTGCAGATGCTCTAAAAATAGATTCCGTTTGCAAGATAGTATACGCCATTTTGGAGCTTTTCCCAGTGGCCTGGCATCATAAAAATATGCCCTGCTAACCTGATAGAAAATTTTCCAAGAAATGTATTACATACTCCTTGCCCCTTTTAGAAAACCCCCTGATTGGAAGTACATATTGACAGGGAATCATAACTTATATATGGGTAGGAAGGAGTGACAAATTTGTCCCTTCTTTTGCTTTCTGGTATCATTTGAGGGGAGGAGTATGCTTAGAAGCATAAACCACCATTTTTGATTCCCCATCTGCCTTCCAGAGCTGTAATTTAAATGTGAACATTTTTTCTAATTAAATTTTTTATTCACTTAATAAAAAATGTGAAATAACCTAGGAAGGTAATGAGGAGTGGTGCTGGGCTCTGCATGATTTTAATCATGTACCTGTAGCAACTCTTGCCTTGTTATCACGCTCAGGGAACATCCTTTGTGTTTCTTTTAGATAGGGATTGATGGGGACAGAATCGGGGACTGGATAGAGAAAGAGAAGTGACTGATGACCAAGTGAGGATCAAGGTTAGAGATTTACATGTTCAGATGCGGATATGAGAGCTCTTTGTTTTTGGAAGCTGCTAAAGGGTATGGTCAGGCCGGGATCTTTGCCATCAAACTTATTTCTCCAATGGCAGGATCCATATTTCTGCCATCTTTCCAATACATCATATTGCTGCTAATAGCTCCCATGGCTGTGTTGTCTCCCCTTTTCTCTACACCCTCATCATCTTAGGTAGCACATTTGTACACAGGGAGCCCTGAATCCATGATGCTAGTTGAATGGTTTGTTGTTGACAGTAGTATCTAGGACAAAAGAGATTGTATTCTGTACTCTGCACTGGCCAGCACACATCTGGGGTCCATTCCAATTACCCTGTTTTAGGAAGGCAGTTAAAAAAATGGAGAACATCCAGAGGATGGTGACAGGCTCTAGATCATATGTACCACTTAAAGATTTTAAATATAAAAGATTATCAAACCAAACTGAAAGAAATGGGCATGGTTTCGCCAAGAGTAGGGGTGGGGAACCTTTTGACTGAGTCCAAAATCTTTTTATTAAGGGGATTTGTTCTGTGAAATTTAGATTCAGTCACAGGGCCGCCCTTGAGGATCTAGAGGGCCACACCCCTGGCCTAGAGAAAAAAATATGTAGTGGGAGATGTGATAGCTGCCTTCACATATTTGAAAGGTTGTCTTATGTAAGCAGAACGTGGATATATAACCAGAAAAGTGAGTAGAAGCTGAAGACAGGGAGATTTCAGATGAACATAAGGAAATTTTCCCCCCAAAAGTAGCACTAACCAGCAGTGGAATGGGCTTCCCAGGCGGTAGCAGGCTTCCTTCTCATTACAGATCTTTCAAGTGGTATGTGGATACCACCTTGTTAATAATGATGTAGAGCAAAAGTATCAAGCACAGTAGGGCAGTACGTATCACAACCCTCCCTGAAGCCTATTAAAATGTAACTGGGAAATATTTAACAACATAAATGAAAATGTAATAAAACATGAATAATGTTAATGTGTGGTTTTCTAAGTCAATACATAGGGACTCTCATATATGATTTTGTGGCCCCTGTTCCTATTAGAGTTTGACACCACTGGTATAGAGAGGAATCTTGTTCAGGTATAGTTTGGAATAGATAGATAACTTCTGAGATCTTCTGACTTTGAGATTCAAGATTATTGTCCCCATTTTGTAGAGCCTAGGCCTCATTTTTTAGGTTTTCAATGCTTCCTGACACCCTTATTTTTCTCAACCTGACCCATCCTGCCTGGCATGCAAAGGAAAGGTGTAACTATTAGATTCTATTCACCTGTTTTAGTAGGAAACTTTTATGAAGGAGGGAAAAAGCAGCAGACCCTGGGAGTCAGGAAACCTGAGGTCCAATTTGAGACCTGCCTTTCATTGGCTTTATGACCTTGAACAAGTAATATCACCGGTTTAGACCTCACTTTTCTCCTTCGTATAAAATGTGAGGATTGGACCAGATGACCTCAGGCCCCTTCTATAGTTCTAAAATGCTAGGATTTATATCATTCCCATCAGAAAGATCAAACTATGTTTGTTATTTGTTGTTCATTAATGGGGGAAAGTTAAGCCTCTTTTCCCTAGATATGAGTGTGATCTGGTTTTGTTATTTGTAATACTCTGGGTGGCTTGAGCAGATCTGGCTGATCTTACTAGCGAGGCAGGTGTGCCCTTTCTCCCTTAATGTTTCTTTCAGGCCTTTACAGGCCATACACACATCATTCCAATAAAATATTCTTCAAAGACTCACTTGCCTTATAGAATCATAGAATCCCAGAATTAGAACCTTGATGGTCATCAAACAGCTTTGAATCCACCTAACTTTACTGTTGGCCAGCCCACAAAGATATATTATTAATAATAATTAGTATCATTTTTCACACTTACATAATAATAACACATTTTATAACTAACTTTAGGGCTTGCAAAGCAAAGCTTATATAGCACTTTAAAATTTCTTTGTTTTTCAGCAACTTGCTTATGGTTTCCCAGCTTGTGTCTGTAATGAGATTCAAACCCAGAATTTCAGAATGTACATCCAGCCATCTTTCCAATACATCATATTGCTGCTAATAGCTCCCATTTATGTGGTATTTTAAGGTTTACAAACTTTTCCACATGATAATCAGTAAGGAAGATGGTATAAGTGTTATTCATCCCCATTTTACAGAGAGAAGATGCAAGCTCAAATTAGTTGATTTGCTCAAGGTCACACAGACAGTATCAAAGCCAGGATTTTAACACAAACTTAATTACCCAAGTCTAATGGACTTTCTTCCATGACACATTGTCTCTATACTGAGAGTTTTTGTTAAATACTTTATGAAATCCGGGCATGTTCTGCAACAGCTCTCTGATTAATAGGAATTAGGGCCCCTGTCAAAAAAAGGAAAGGAGTTTGGTCTGGTATTACTTGTTCTTGGTGAACCCATGCTGGTTCCTAGTAATCACTGCTTTGTTTTCTAAGCTTCCGCAAACCACTGATTCAATAATCTCTAGGGTTTTTTTTCCCCAGGGATCTATGTCAGATTTATCAATTTAGTTTTTTCAAATCTATTTTCTTTTTAAATAACTATATTTGCCTGTAGCTTGTCTTCTTACACTTCCTCTATTCTTCACAGGACCACATAAGGTCAATTTGAGGTGGTCTGGTACACTGGAAAGGGTACTGGACTTGAGACCAAAGGGCTCAGCTTTGAATTCCAGCTCTGCCATTTTCAACCCATGTGACTTGGGCAAATCACTTAACTTCTCTATGGCTGTTTCTTCATCTGTAAAATGAGGTTTCATCTGGTCCACACTAAGTATCTTTTAAAATCCCCTACCCTAAATCTGTGATCCTATGGCTCCATTGAAGTTGTCATAGAAGCTATTGGTGCTTCCTGCGGTGAAGTGGGGTGAGATGGCCTCTAAGGTCCTTCATCTTTCTGCGATGAATTGGTTCATTAATTGCAACTATAAGTTCTTCCGTTATTGAGTTTGGAATGGCAGACATAATTTATCAGAAGACTCAAACTCATTTAGAGCTGAAGGTGCTGTCTTGCTATCATTTCCTCACTGAATTCACTCTTGTGTTTGTTTTAGAGGAAACTAGGTATCTTCATGGATAGAGAGCTGGCCTTGGAATCAGGGTGATCTGAATTCAGATCCTGCTTCAGACACTTAACCTCAGTTATCCTGGGCAAGTCACGCTAATTTCTCTCATCTGTATTATGGGAATAATTATAGCACTTACTTCACATGGTCATTATGTGAATCAAATGACACAAAATATGAAAGTACTAATCCAATGTAAGTGCTGGCTATTACTACAGTTATGGTGACCCTCTTTAGTCAGAAGATCCTTCTACTCAACAGAGTAGAAGCCAAAAGCAAAATAGGTCATACAGGGTGAAAAGGGGTGGATTTGGAGTTTTAGAGGACCTGCATTCAAATCCTAGAGAGGATCCAGGACAGCCCTAGGATGCCTACAGTTAGGGGTATATCCCAGGGGTATGCTGTGAGATTCTTTCCAGCTCTAAATTTATAGATGTCATATACATATATATATAATATATATATATATAAAATTTTTTTTTCCAAATAAAATTTTTTTGATGTCTTTTGGTTTTTCCATTGCCTAAAATTTCTCCTGTATTTGTTTCTCTCCCCTTTCCCAGAGAGCCATCCTATTTAACAAAAGTGTTTATATATTTTTCAAAGAAAAGAAAAAGAGGAAGGAGAGGGAAAAAATCAACATAACTGAACAATATTTTTTAAAAAAATCTAAAATATATTCGATGTTCCATACCTGTGAGCCTCCCACCTCTGCAAAGTAGTGGAGAGATGTTTTCTCATATCCCGTGTCTCTTGCTCGAGGTTGGGCTGGTCTTTTCTAATTTTGCAGTACTCAGTTGTGATTGTTTCATAATGATTGTTCTTTCCGTTTACATTGTTGTAGTTGTTGTACATTGTGTTCTTTGGCTTTGCTTATTTCACTGTCCATCAGTTCACATAAATCTTCCCATGCTGCTCTGCATTCATCAAGCTCATTGTCGTTTCTTACAGAAATTCCATTCAAGTGTTACAATTTGTTTAGCCAAGTGGATGCATTTTTAAGGGTTTCACTACACACCTTCTGATGGTGACACTCTGCTTTTAGATTTACTTATTTTTAAATATAAAAAAAATTACAAGAGATATACTCACATGAGGAAAGTGGAATGGTTGTGCTTCCAGACAGTTTTGGAGTGTTTGCTGTAGAGGACAATGCAAGTATCTAATGAATCTCCCTGTTAGGTCTGGAGGACCAGGAGCAGCTGTGATTACAGATAATAAATTCTGTAAAATTTTAAGAAGTGTCAAGGCCAACAGAAAGATGGGATCTTGTCCCAATCGTATCTCTCACTACATGCTTCCCCTATATGACCCCACCTCCACCAGCCAAAATACTCTATTCCCTCTACATCGTAATAATCCTTTGCCATTCTCACCTCTGTATCTTTGCTTACTGTGCTGCCTTAACCTCCCTACTCCTCCCATCTTTCCAGATCTTTATCCCCTCTTCCAGCCCCACGTCCTTCACAGAGCCCTTTCTCAGCACTCCAATCTCTACAGATCTCAGAATTTAAGAGTGAGAAATGTTCTTAGAAGCTATCTCATCTGGATCTTGGATAAAAGTCCCTTCTGCGTCCCCAGTGAATAGTCTTCTAGCCTCTTTTTGAAGTCTACCAGTGAGGGGAACCTGCTTCCTCCCCAAGGAAGCCTGTTCCCTTTTGGGGGAAAAGAATTGTTAGGAGGTTTTTCCTTAGAATAGCCTAAATCTGCCTCAGCACTACTTCTGCCCTCTGAGCCAAGTAAAACCAGTTTCATTCCCAAGATGGCCCTTCCAGTACTTAAAAGACTACTACTATGCCCCCTAAATCTTCTCTTCATAAAGACCCAATGTTCATTCAACTAATGTGTCATTTCAAGGTCCCTTACCATTATGGTTGCTTTCTTATAAACATTATAACAGTCTGACTGGGGTCAGAGTACAATAAAACTTTTACCTCCTTGTCCTGGACCCTGTGCCTCACTTTAAGGCAGCCTAGGTTGGCATTGGGCTTGGTGTTTTTGTATTTTGGTGACGGCAAGGTTGGCTGCCACGTCACACGATTGACTTGCTGAGCCCAAAGTCCACTAAACCCCCTACATCTTTTGGCGACAGTGAGGCAGCCTAAGGAAGTACCTTATTGGTGTTGACAACGCGCGCCATTCCTGTCCCACAAGACTGATGTGAGAATCCTGCGAGATATGTGAAAGCACCTCAAGGAATGTTGTTCGGCAGTCATTTTATGATGCATCTTCTAGGTGGAATGCTGTCTCTTAGGTAGTAGACCAACTTTCCCTCCTTTGAGGGAGTCTGTGTGCCTGCCTCTGGTGATGTCTTGAGGTTATCAACCTCCCCAGCCCTCCTTACTGTCCCCTGCCCTCCCTACCAGGTGGTAACCGTCCATATTCCTGGTGAAGCTGGCCTGTGCTCAGAGTTGGAACGTGGACCTCCCATCCCAGGAGACTCCATAGTAAACTGGATAATGGAAATGCTGATATTCAGCTGTCTTAGCTATGGAAGCTAGAACTTCTAATCCTTCCATGAATGGATTCTTCTGAGTTACTAACGCTTGGACATGGGAAGTAATTAGCAAAGGGTGTAAAAGAAATGTCATTAAACAACAACAAGAACAACACCTTTTTTGAAAATCTTTTAAAAATGCCATCAGCCACTCTTCTACTTTAATTAGCAGATTTTTGCTTCCTGGATTCACTCTGGACAATGATGGGTTGATTCCGTTCGCTAGAAGATCCAGTTACTAGGGAGCCTTTGAAAAACCGTTTGGAGAAGGCTCACCTTAAGGCATACAGGTCTTCGAGAGAAGAGGGCTGGACAAGGAATAAAGAGGCCTGATTCAACACTTCTTATCTGGGTTATTAGGCAAATCATTTAAGCTCTCTTAGTGTAGTTCTGTAAACTTGGGGAAACAGATTTGCACTACCTGCTTTATGAGGATTGTTGTGAGGAATGCATTTGGTAAACCTTGAGACACTGCTTCTGTGGTGGTTTCATTACTGACTTTTTCTTTGTCCATTGAAAATTTTGCATGACATAAGGATCATAGTCCAATGGTGAATTCTCATTGGCTAGGATTATAGATGGGAGATGTAAACAATGGAAGATTTGGCCAAAGACTTCTTTTTCTTCTTTTTTTATTTTTTGGCTAGGCAATGGGGTTAAGTGACTTGCCCAGGGTCACACAGCTAGTAAGTGTCAAGTTTCTGAGGCTGGATTTGAACTCAGATCCTCCTGACTCCAGGGCCAGTACTCTATCCACTGTGCCAAAGACTTCTAACCTTAGAACTTTCATCCCTGGGAGAAGCAGTTGGTTTTATGGATGTATATTGAGAGGGGGGAAGATTACTAAATCTTTGTTTTCAACTATTTTTTCTTTCCATTTGGTTTTCCCCTTAAAGTAAGGAAGGAAACTGTGTTTATACACACACATACAGAGAGGTGCGTGTCTCTTTGTGTGGTTCTGGTTAGTGGAGCTACAGTTAAGTGAAATTTTATTAAAATGAGAATAAAATGTGGGATAAATATGGTGACATTTATTATTTCCTTAGATCCTCGTGAAAACAACAAACCCAGGGGGAAGGTGGGAAAGTTCTTAGCCAATTTTCACTCATACAAGGGAAGGCATAAGACTTAACCTGAGATCCCTGGGGTAGCCAGAAGGAGACTAGAGAAGAGGATGCAGCGAGAGCATAGTCACCAGAAAGATGAAGGATGGAATCGTGACTCCAGCAGTTGAGGAGTCCCTGTGATGAACTTTGGGCTATCACAGGAGAATGAAGGAGGTCAGTGATCCTGAGAAACATTGTCTGCCAGAACCGGCCTCCAGATTGTGCCAAGTTCTAATCATTCCTCTTAGTTTAATGTGAGTCCCTGAGTCTCATTCCACACCCAGTAGGCCAGCCAACATTATCAATGAGGCCCCAGGCCAAGGGTTTTTTAGGTAAGGGTGGAGTCTTGCTTAGGCCGTCTGATTGGTTCCTTAACTCTGATGTCACAGGCAAGGAGGCTGCCAGTTAGTGAGGTTGTACATGTTATGGAAGTTTCTAGTTTGGAAGGTTCTAAGCTTAGAAGATTCCAGAAAAGGGAGGGGGCATGTCTGCAGCAGAGACAACCAGAGGGTTTTGGGGGGCTATCACAGACATCTCTGTCCTGGCTGGCATAATAATATCAAGCAGTGGTCAGCTTTGTTTCATACCAAGGTATCATATTTAATTATATCAAGGGTTCCCAACTTTTTTCCCAGAGGGCTAATCTACTTTTCATCTCCATTGTCTTAAAATCATGGGGAGGGGGATAATGGTTACCAGCTCTCTTAAGCCAGGGTCTGGGAAGCTCCTAGGCCTTGGTCTTGACTTATTCTTCTGCAGTAGCAATGTATTTTCCAAGGGCCAGTACCCAGGTATTTGGAAGAGGTAGCCACCTGCTATAATTTGACTTCCTGTCACTTGTGGTGTGACATTTCTCAACTAGCCTGGGGCCAGAAGCAGTGAGCTTCATTTTTAAATGGCCATTTTTAGTTCTCTGGTCTATTTTAGCCAAAGTGACTCCACATCTGTGAAAGAAAGCAGTGGGGAGATGTGGTTTGGGTTTCTGGACTTTCCTCTCCTCACCACCGGATCACCCTTTAAAAATCATTCTTTGTGCTTCGCCAAGCCGCTGCCACGCCCACAGTTCCCCTGGGCTTTCCAGGATGCTGCCTTAAGCTCCTTGGGCAGTGGAAAGAACATCCTTCAAAATGTTTTGTTAGAGGGAGGAAGACAGTCCTAGCATTGCTGAGACATGTCGGGGAGTCTGTTCCCCCTTGGCCCTTCCTTGATGGAGAAATAAGTCATGTTCTGGGAAAAGGCTTTTCCATTGCCCCCTTTTGAAATAATTCCACTTTAATTAGATTCAGCTTACCCATTCGTGATGTCTAGGAGACTTATAAGGACTCAGTTTTTCACTAACTTTGCAAGAGTATTTGTGAAGAAAATCACAGGGACAAGACAACACAAGGAAATGAATCACTGATGTTGGAATTTCAGCCTTTAATTTGGGAGATATTTTTGGGGCAGGGGACTTTCTTGGAACTCTTCCAAGCACAGCACATAGGTCACCACTCGAATAATCTCTAGCAAGGGTGGTGCTGATCTTGTCTATATCCCTGCCTCTCTGGACAGGATAATTATAAAAGTATTTCTGGTATTTCCTTCTTTGTTCACACATTAATAATGGCCTATGGTTAGGGAAGGGATGGTGAACTCCCAGGTATGTTGCTCAGGTGGGAATATGGATGCAATCCTTGGAGATTCTAGAAAAGAGTATCACCTATCAGAGCCTAACACAAATCTGATTAAAATCCCGTCTCCATAATTGCTAACCACATTTCACTACCGACTCGCCTGTCTCAGGCAGCAGCAGCTGACATGCGGAATGCTGAATATGGAAATAAGAAAGGATCTAAAAATAGTTTCTTGCTTTGAAACATTCATTGTTGGTAGTTTTGTATTCTACACACACACACACCCACCCACCCACCAATTTTGAATTTTCTAATGCTTGATAATTGAAGATAACCTTGAGTAGATTACCACTGCCAGAAAGGGACTGACCCTCAGCAAAAGTATGAAGCAGGCAAAGTTTATTTTTGGAACTCGTTCAGTACCTTTTTACCTACCAGTTAAACCCCAGTACCCAGTCCCCTGATGCTATCTCCCTAGTCTCTCTAACAAAACCTGTTCTCAAGAAACTTATTTGTTCTGCAGTATAAATGACTGATATTGACTTTAAGTATTATTCAGCTCCAGGGTATTTACTTTTTAGTGGGAAGTCAAAATATAAATTAAAACAAATGAAACTCTAGGGGTGGAACTTTAGGCATCATTTGGGAAACAGGATAGGCCTTGGTGGGGGGGACTCAAGGCCCCTAAAATTACAGCGTATAGGCAGTCATCTATTCTGCCTGCAGTTAAAGTGGACTTGATTAATTTGCAGGACCTGGGTACCATGGATGTCTGTGCTCAAGAGGGAGTGAGGGTAGAGCTGAGGTCAAGGTCGTTGACCTTTGACGTGTGTTTGTTTGATGTTAGGGGAGAAGGAATCCAATGAGTATCACACTCATGTTTTTTTTCTCCTCCTTTTCCTCCCTTCCTCCTTCCCCCTTTCCTTTGAATGTGGGTTACTTAGGGTACATGGATGCCCTAACTTGGGAGAGATTCCCTGTGAGATGGATGGCCCATCTTGATTTGGTACATGGGACCTGCTCCAATGCAGAGAAGAATCTCAAGGGAAGCTTGTTTTGTTTTATTCTGTTTTTAAGTGGTGTTAACAAAATGACTCCTTTTGTTTTTCAATTAAGGTATGGTTTTGTTATTCATTTTTTTAAAAAAAAGCTCTGAATAGTTTCGGCCAAAAACAGTCAAAGTAATTGGACAGGATACGCTGGCCTGAGCTAGAGTACAAGTGAGTATGATTCATATAATTATACATTCTAGGGAATGCGAGAGCTGGAAGGGACCATAGAGACCATTAGTGTAGAGATGAGGAAACTGAGGCCAGGAGAAATGTGCTCGCCCAAGGTCCTAGCTCATTTGTGTGGAAGAGTCAGGATTTAAAGGCAGGTCTCTTGATCCCCAGCCCTGGAAGCATAGTCACCTCTTTTCAAAGGGACTGTCCAGTCCTGGCCTCTGGCCTCTGGCCTGGGACCCCCGGAGAAGCATCAGAGCCCTCGGGCTGCACCCAGCAGGTGAGACCCTGCCAGCCCCACCAGCGTGTGAACTTCTCTCCACAAAAGGAGGAAATGACCAGAGCTCAGAGGCATCTCCCTTTCTCTGGAGGAGAAGACCCCCAGGGAAATTAAGACAAGTGGAAGAGCATGAACAGAATTACTAGAAGAACATGAAGAGAGATGGGCATGGGGGGAAGTTCTCTGTCTCCACTGAAGCATTGCTTGTATGAGGAGATTAAAGCAGGACAGGGAGGAGTGAGACCAGAGTGGTGGAAGAGAACCTTGTAGGAGAATGCAAACTGGGTACTGTGGACAATGAAGAGCAATTAGAGATGCTTGGGAAAGAAAGCAGCAGAAAGTGGTGTTGTAAGAAAGTTAATCTGGGGGCAGCTAGGTGGTACAGAGGATAGAGCACCGGCCCTGAATGCAGGAGGACCTGAGTTCAAATCCAGCCTCAGACACATAACACTTACTAGCTGTGTGACCTTGGGAAAGTCACTTAACCCCATTGCCTAACCAAAAAATAAATAAAAAGAAAGAAAGAAAGTTAATCTGATGGCAGCATAATAGTAATAAGAATAGCTGGCACTTTTTAGAGCCGTAAGTTCACAAAGCACTTTATATGAAGTTATCTCTTTCAATCCTCATAATAACCATCCCCCACCCCATACTACATATAAGAAAAACTGAGGCTGAGAGGTTAACTTGCCCAGGGGTCACACAGCTAGTAGGATTTTTACTCAGATCTTCCTGTCTCCAGGTCCAGCACTCTGCCCACTTTGCCATCTCATTGCCAGGCATGCAAGATAGATTTCGTGTGAGAAGAGGCAGAGAGATTATGCATGACACATTGTTGTAATCTAGAAATCAGGCAAGACAGGCTGGACTAGGATGGTAATTATTTTTGGATGGCCTGCTCTTCTGAATTAGCCACTCCTTTGCCTCACCTGCGTTAGCAGAAACGACCAAGAGTTGGCTCTGGCTGCCTGGTCACAGTCCTCCTCTGGTCCTCCTCCCCCTCTGACTCCCAGCCTCAAGTCAGAGAAACAAAGGAGGACCCTAAACTTTTGTTGGAAGCGTTAATAAGATCACCAACCCAAAGATTTCCCACTGCTAACCTGGCTCTGTTACTGAGCCAGACCCACTCGGATTGGCTGGCACTCCAAAAACGTAAATACCCTAATATTTGGAGAGTCTGTAAGGGGTCACTTTTTTTGCTGCACACAACTGGAAGAGACTTTTTTTTCCTAAATATAAGTTGCATTCCAAATTCCTCTTGGAAGCCCTCCTGTCTCCTTCCGTCTTAGGGCAGAGGCAGCACTTGCTACAATTTTCTTTCCATTATCATCTTCTAATTAAATAACACATATCTCATTCTCTCCTTGGAGCATATAAGGGTTCACCAGGTGCTGAACCCTTAGATTCAGCTGGTTTTCTAAACTCTTTCAGGGGATATAATGAGGGCTTCTTCTGGTCACACTCTCTTTTTCCCCTTCTTTTCCCCTTTTCTCACTAAAACCTTGGTCTACAGGACAAAATTCAACACATATGTGTTAAGTGCCTCCAATTCCAAGGCACTATATTGGGCTCTAGGAATACAAAGGCACTACAGATAACCTTTCCTCAAGGAACTACCCATCTAATGTGTGAAGAACTCAAATACTCAAATGGATTTGTGATCTCATTGATTTGGAAGTACCTTCCAATGTTGTAAATCATGACTCATCAATATGACTTTTATCCATGTCCTCACATAAGTTCAGCATAGGGTGTCCACCAACATGCTGGTGACCTTCCTTACGTTCCCTGACATCTTGACGGTGTTAGTGAAGCTTTGTCTCTCTTTCATCCCTCAATCTTGCCATGTAACCAGACCATCATATTTTCCTATCATTCATTTCCTTGACAAGTGCAAACATCTGATCCTGACAACCTTTTATGGTATAGTTATTATTCCTGCCACCATCCCCCGTATTGTAGTTAGGGGAACTTAGTATCCGAAAGGTTAACACAACAAATTAGGGGAGCCAGGAACAGAACCCAGGTCTTCAGAGCCTGGTAGCTTCTTTATTAGATGAGAACGGATCAAAAGCACTTATGAAAAGTATAAGATACACATGTAAGAAAGGATTAAATCATAGAAGGTTAGACCAGGATGGGACAGTTGAGGTAATCTAGTTCAGCTTTCATGGTTTTACAGATGAAAAGACTGAA